AGGGTGATGAATGGGTGTAGGGGTGATGAAGGGGTGTGGAGGTGATGAAGGGGTGTGGAGGTGATGAAAGGGTGTAGGGGGAGATGAAAGGGTGGAGGGGAGATGAAAGGGTGGAGGGGAGATGAAGGGGTGTGGGGGTGATGAAGGGGTGTGGGGTGGTGAAGGGGTGTGGGGGTGATGAAGGATTGGTCGGGGAGATGAAGGGATGTGGGAGGGGTGTGGGGTGGTGAAGGGTGGAGGGGGTGGAGACATAAGAGCTGGGGCCATGTGTTCCCCCCTCCCTGAGCCTTACCTTTGTCCGTGGAGGGGGGAATCTTTATCCCTGGTGGTCCGGTGGCAGATTAAGCTTGTTTGCACCCCTTGTGGGTGCAGCCAATCCTGAAGAGCTCCCTCCCTGGCCGGCCATGGTACTGCAGCGGGGTCAGGCTGCCTGTAACACTGATAGAGCAGCTCCGCATAGGGCTGCTCAGTTACAGGCAGCCTGCATGCTGTGTTCAGCTCACGGCAGAGGCTCTGCTCCTGGAGCCTCTGTCGATTTTTTTTTTCCAGCAGCACTTTCGGACAGGCACAGTGAGAGACAGCCTGGAGGGTCTTTGATAAGGCCCCTCGGCTGTCTCTCAGTGTGCTACAAGCTCTCTGCTGCGTGTGACCAAGGGGGTAAGTATTTAATAACAGGGGCCCGCAGAGGGTCGTGCGGGCCCCTCACTTAGTGCAGGCTGGCTGGGGAGCTTGTTGAGCTCCTCAGCTGAGCCATTACAATGCTGCAGGCAGCGGGCCCCCAAGAGCCTCGGGCCCTCGGTCCATGACTGATGTGCCCGAGGGCTCAGTCCGCCCCTGCAGACTCCCCATATAAAAAAGCACACAGCCTCCCCACACACAACATACATAGTTTTCTGAACATACAACACACAAAGCCTGACAGATACAGCCTCCTCACACAAACATCATACTCAGTCCCCTCAAAAACGATGCACAGAATATATATCCCTCATACATACACACACATGTAATTCAAATTGTATACTGTATGTGGCATTTGCTGCTATACAGGGCCTTTCTGACTGCAAAATCCAGACATTGTTAACCGTATATAACAATATTTAGATTTTGTAAACCAAGCTCTGAATGAGTAGGAATTTGCTCCAGACTTTGGTCCAGACATTTAGAGCTTGGGTGGCTGAAATCTGAACCATAATTGCTAAAATCCCAGCCCAGATCTTTAAAGGAACACTTCATTGAAATGTTGCTATATTTTTCAAAACAATTTAGTAGGCATACTCCCAAATAAAACATGCAAATATTTGTTTTTGCATATTTTCTTATATGAAAAAAACACTTTCAAAAGCTGCACACATGCTGTCTGCATCCTTGCCAGCAGGGGAGCCGCCAGAAATGTTGTTGCTCAATACAAAATTACTGGCTTCCCCACACAGATATATTGTCCCTGTCTCATGTACACAAACACTCACAGGTACTTACAGAGACACACATTCCCATATATATATATATATATATATATATATATATATATACCAATGAACATTCCATGGAATAAACAGATATATATATATATGCATACATCAACAGACATGCATTGCCACATACACACTTACCCACTGACCTACACATAAATATGCACTGCCATGCACACACACACACACACACACACACACACACACAGATACACTTTGTATTCACCCACAGACTGTCAGGCACACCAATACACTTACTCCAGGTAGAAGCACTCACTGATAGATGCACACAGTAACTCTCAGACACTTGCCAACTCCTTGTCAGGTGAACACACCAATTCCCAAACATATGTACACTGCCAGACACTGATGCACACACTTAGAAATATTCTCATATGTATGTTACAGGGTGTGGCTCCCAGGAGTCCAGTGGCAGCAACTGGTGTATGCTAGCAGAAAGTACCCTGACATCACATCCTCCCAGCTCTGCCACACAGTTAAAGCCGATCATTAGGGCTCCCAAGTAAGAGGCCTGCTTTACAGTATATCTTCAATGCAGTCCCAGCGTGCTCCCTGGCTTTATGCTGGCCCCTTACTGTTGGAGCATGATAGCCTCCCCTCACTTTAAGAAGCCTCTGTGCTATAGCTGCAAGTGCATGCGATTGCATCTATCCTGTGCTTCTCAATGCTGTAATCAAGCTCAATGAGAGGGAGAGGAGAAGGCAGGCCTGTGCTAGCACAGAGCTCTCGCTGCTTCTATTAGCTCTGTGGAGCTAACGTAAGAGGAAGAAAACCTTTCTAAATGTCTGATTGGTAGGCCTTCAGTTATAAAAGTGTAAATTTCTAATGAAATCATCACTTTTATAAACTGTCAAGAAAATGACAGATTTCTGAAACATGAAGCATTTGAGCAAGCTGACGCGCTTTATGTGTGTTGAGTGCACCTTTAATATCATGGCCCTGATTACACACCATCACTGCACTTTACAAACTTGCATTTTAGGCTGAAATCTTAAAGATAAAATGAGCTTGGCATTTTTTCCTTAAAAATACTTACATCCAAAATTATAAAAAGTCAAAATGAATGGTGTAATAGTTATTCAGTAAAGAGTGCATTTGTTACAAATTAGTGTAACTTAGCATATAATTAAGTTTTATTTCCAAGGCAGAACTATATAAGTGAACAAAAAATGTTACTTGAGCACTATCCCAAATCCCTATACACATTTAAAAAAAAAACAAGAGTGTAATCTGACCTGCTGTGCAGGGCCGCCATCAAGGGGGTGACAACCATGATGGTTGTCACGGGCCCGGTGGTCCTGGGGAGCCCGGACTGCTCTGGCAGTCCCGGGCCCCACTTTCTTTCTCTGCACACATAGATAGCAAATATCGCTATCTATGTGTGCAGCCGCAGGCCCCCGGCTCCCTGTTACCGCAGTGCTTGTTCTCCTCTCTTCTAATAACTCTCGCGAAACCAGTTACCATGGCAATGCTCCGCGTTGCCATGGTAACTGGAGGAGAAGAGTAAAGGCCCCCTCTGCAGTAACAGGAAGTCGGGTGCTCCCCATGCCACCGGACCACCAGAGATGGAATCTCCCCCCTCCCTGGACACAGGTAAGCAGGGAGGGGGGAGAAACATTTAATTAATTTAATATACACTAACACAACACACACACTACATACACTAACACAACACACAACACACACACTGCATACATTAACACAACACACACTGCATACACTAACACAACACACACTCTGCATACACTAACACAACACACACTGCATACACTAACACAACACACACTGCATACACTAACACAACACACACTCTGCTTACACTAACACAACACACACTAACACAGCACACACTGCATACACTGACACAACACACACTGAATACACTAACACAATACACACTCTGCATACACTAACACAACACACACTCTGCTTACACTAACACAAAACACACTCTGCTTACACTAACACAACACACACTAACACAGCACACACTGCATACACTGACACAACACACACTGCATACACTAGCACAATACACACTCTGCATACACTAACACAACACACACTGCATACACTGACACAACACACTGCATACACTAACACAACACACTGCATACACTAACACAACACACACTGCATACACTGACACAACACACACACACTGCATACACTAACACAACATAGAAACATAGAATGTGACGGCAGATAAGAACCATTCAGCCCATCTAGTCTGCCCAATAACACATTGCATACACTAATACAACACACACACTGCATACTCGAACACAACACAAACTGCATACACTGACACAACACACACTGCATACACGAACACAACACACACTGCATACACTAATACAACACACACTCTGCATACACTACACACTAACACACTCACTGCATCCATTACACTGACACACACTCTGCATCCGCTACACTAACACACTCTCTGCATTCACTACACTAACACACACTTTGCATCCGTTACACTAACACACACTCTGCATCCGCTACACTAACACACTCTCTGCATTCACTACACATTAACACTCTGCATTCACTACACTAACACACACTCTGCATCTGCTACACCCTAATACACACTCTGCATCCGCTATACACTAACACACGCTCTGCATTCACTACACATTAACACACACTCTGTATTCACTGCACTAACCCACACACTACATTAATTACACTGACACACTCTGCATTCACTACACACTAACACACACTCTGCATTCATTACACACTAACACACACTCTGCATTCACTATACTGACACACACTCTGCATTCACTACATTAACATACAGTCTGCATTAACTGTACACACAGCATCCACTACACAAACATCCTGTATTCACAATACACACACTACATCCACCACAAATTGAAACACTCTGCATTCACTATACACAGACACTGCGTCTAATACACACACTACATCCACTACAGACACTGCATCCACTAAACACATTTCATCTAGTACATACAAACACTACATCACTGTACACACACTACATCCACTACTCAAACACACTCTGCGTTCACTATACACACTGCATCCGCTACACAAACACACACTCTGCATTCACTGCACAAACAGTATCTAATACACACAATCACTACATCCATTACACACATTCTAATTCACTTCCACTATACACACCACATTCAGTCCTGCATCATTTTATTTTTATTTATTTATAAAATATTTTACCAGGAAAGATACATTGAGATTTCTCTTGTTTTCAAGTATGTCCTGGGTCCACAAATCATTGCATTGTTACATTAGGTTCAACAAAATACAAAAACAATATTAATACACAATATATACAAAATTTTACATAGAACAGGCAGGAAATATATAATCAACCATGACACGTGCATTCTGTTTTGAGGTATGTAGAGAGGGATCTCTTAAATGACTTTAGGCTTAGGGAAGATTTTAAATTGTGCGGGAGGTCGTTCATTGTCAGCGGACTAGGTAGGGTGTGGGCGTGCCCGGGAGGGGGCACCTTGTGCTTTGTCAGGGGCCCCAAAATTTCTGATGGCGGCCCTGCTGCTGTGTCAAGACAAACATAACGCTAACAATTTACCTTTCAGTTAAAAGGCAAGATCTCAACGGAGACAGAAAGAGATGTTCTTATGGATGCTTGCAAGCACATAGACTCTTATTAGGGCAAACATGTGGGGGATGGCAGCACTGTATATAGCTGTTAATACAAAAGCAAATTAGTTCAAACACCTACTAGGTTCGGACGGCAGTAGCTAGAGCATTCATTAGTCCGAAATATATATGGCAAAACAAAACAAAACCCAAACACCAATTATATTGGAAAGTGTATACAGTAACAGTTTGCATCTCACTATGTTACATTAGTTCCTTTGTTGTACAATGCAGCATGAAAGGTGGACAAAGCTATAACACAGTAATGGATTTTACGTGGATTTGATTCCCAAATTTTAGTACTTGGAGCAATGTGTGTGTGTGTGTTCATTTTTACTTATTCTAGTCAGCTATGACCCTTAACACAGCTACATTATATATGCCTTTTGAGAAATGAGAAATATTAATGGATATTAAACTATTTGCACAAGAGGTGGAACATCATTGTTGTGTAAGAAATATTTTTTACACTTCTGGGCTTTTTTGTTTGTTTTTTATAATAACTACCAAGATCATATATTCTAGAGGCAACAATAAATGAGTCAAAGCAGTGCCTTATTAATATATTCATCACCATTCCTTGTCCTCGATACTAGATTGTCTAGAGGCACTCTCTCACTGCTGTGTTTTCATCTTATCGAATGCCATCCAAATATGATGTTTTTTAGTCACACTGTATGTTGAATGAATCACATTGGATTTATGGATTTTTAATTCTGTGAGTTATTCAATAAAGAGGGTTTCCTGACTAGACTAGTGGTTCTTACTTAACTTGCTTGTGTGCCAGAACCTTGTATTTAATGTTGCTGAATTTTCTCTGTGGTGTTGGAGAACATGTTCCAGAGCATCTGGGCCTCTTGGGTCTTATTGTGTTAGAGAAAATTGGCTTACAGGGTTACACCGACCACCATGACCACTTCAGTTATTTGAAGTATTATGAGATACTGAGATAATCGGACTCCCACCTCCCCACTCCCTCCTTCTTGCCACCCTCTCCTCGCCAGCTATGCACTCGGAGCCAGCAATAGGTTCAATCACAGACTTCTCTATGACAAAAAAATAATTTCCTGCTCCCTCCACACACAGCCACTGCATAGAATTCTCAGCTTTAATGCTGTGCAGGATGAATAGGACATCTAATTCACTGGTCAGGCCATGCTATGTGCTTGTACAGGAAGGAAGGGGTAAATAAGACTGTAAGCAAAGAACACGCTTCTCAGTGCCACTTGTATGAGTGTGAGCGGTCTCAGTCAGCAGTCTTGGAGTTTGTATAAAAATATAAAACATACAGATACTTATTCTTCCGTTTTATTAGAAATACTGCACCATATATTTTTCCATCTCTGTTACATATATAATTGAGAGATTCTGTAAGGTGCTATCCCTCCCTTCCTGTACAAGCAATTTACATTTATTCAGAAAGAGGAGAGGCCCCAGATCAGTTGTTCGAGCTGCCTGCCCTCATCTAATACTACTGGACTGCTGAACCACCATATAGGCCATGTTATGTGTTAATGCTGGAAAAAGGTGATATGAACATCCTACCAGTACTGTCATCTGCAACAGAGACACATTCAGATGTTCTTGTCTGGTAAATGGCTTTCTCCAATGAGCTTGTCCAATGT